GACACTTGTCAGAGCCAGTGTTGAGTTCCATTTATTTTGCAGCAGTATGCATCTGCTGGGTTTGGGTACTCTGGAAAAATCCAAAACATAATATAATGGAAAAAGCATGGGTAAAAATCCCTATTTAATCTTTGAGCCTCTTTGTTCATCTATAAATTTAGAATATGAATATCAACTTTGAAGTGTTGTTGTGAAAATTAAATAAAAACATATATGGTGGAATAGGTGCCCAAAATTGGTTAATCATGAAAAACTTACCATCATCAAGATGTAAAATAATTAGCTGTTGTTGTTGGGGCAGGGCTTGGAGTTGGGGGTTGGATATTAACATTTCAAACATGTATAAGCTTTTATCTGAAAAACCTACCAGATAAAACAAAGAGATTACCACCCCCATGTTTTTAGGGAGACAGGCAGAAAGTATGACACATAAAAGAATTAATTTGTTTAACTTTGATGGAAGGTAAACCCCTTTAGTTCTCACTTTGTTTTTAAGACTAGAAAAAGATCCAAACTTCTTAATTATGGATTATCCATCATGTTCTTTCCTTCCTCGGAAACTTTGAGATCCAAGAATGTCTGTTCTTTAAGATGTAACAAAAAATACCTGAAGAAATTTGAAAACGACAGAATGTTAAATTATAATAATAATAGATAACAGAATTATGGTTTTGTAAGAAAATATCTTATTTTTAGGAGATGCATGCTGATATATTTAGTGGTGAAGTTCAATGATGTTTGCAACTTCACATGGTTCAAAAAATTACATATATATATTTATACCTATGCATAAAGCAAATACGGCAAATTGTTGTTGAATTTAGATGATGGCGATATAAGCAATGTTTAAAATAGTTAGGTCAGGCTGGGTGCAGTGGCTCACGCCTGTAATCCCAACTTTGGGAAGCCAATGAGGGAAGATCACTTAAGCAATCTCCCTCTTGCAACATAGCAAGACCTCATCTCTACAAAAAATAAAAGGATTAGCCAGGCATGGTGGCACATACCTGTGGTCCCAGCTACTTGGGAGGCTGAGGAGGAAGGATCACTTGAGTCTGGGAGTTCAAGGCTGCAGTGAGCCATGATTATACTACTGCACTCCAGCTTGGGTGACAAAGTGAAATTTTGTCTCAGAAAAGTAAAAAAAAAAACAAAACAGCTAGAGTTTTTTGTTTTAGAGGCAGGGTGTTGCTCTGTCACCCAGGCTGGAGTGCCGTGGCACAATCATAGCTCACTATAACCTCGAATCCTGGGCTCAAGTGGTCCTCCCACCTCAGCTTCCCGAGTAGCACTTTTTTTTTTTTCTTTTCTTTGTACAGATGGGGGTCTCACTGTGTTGCCCAGGCTGGTCTCAAACTCCTGTCCTCAAGTGATCCTCCTGCCTCAGCCTCCCAAAGCATTGGGATTATAGGCATGAACCACCACACCCAGTCCTTAAAATAGTTTATAATAAAACATGAAGGGTGGGGGGAACCAAGAGGTTGCATTTAGGGACAATCCTAGGTATAATTTTCCATCTTTTTCCTTTTCTATTCATAGTACAGATGGTTAGGGGAGAGGGTGGTAATGCAGAAAACAACTGATATTAGAGAAGTAACAATAAATTCAGTCACAAGTCAACTAACTGAAAGACAAGTTCTACACAACTTCTGAAACAACTTGTGAGAGTCCAGATGGTGAGAAGTCAGTAACTAAAATCAGTGGTTTTAAGAATTCTTTTGCCAGGGAGGAACAAAGCAGTCTGGTGGGAGTATTAGCCTTTCCAATGGGCCTATCAAGAGAATTTATCTAGGAATATTTAGGAACCATATTCTAAAGACGTTACAAAGGCAATTACAGAAGAAAATGTTATGTAGCTCCCTCTGTTCAGAACACACACAATCTTGAGAACCATCCCTCTTTATCTAATAATTAATGTTTATCTGTAAATGAACATATCAATCTTAAGGGGTGGTATAAGAAAAAAAAGAATTACGTAGGAAATAAGTAAAAGTCTTATAAAATTTGAAGGTGTTATTAAAGGACTAAAAAGGAAATAAAAGGATTGTGATAAGAAGCAAAAAAAAAAAAAAAAGATTTTAGATAACCATAAAACAAATTAAAAAATTAAAATCCCCCAAGAAACTAAATTAACCCAATTTTTTAGTTAACTTACTAACTAAACGTTTTGCAGCATACAAACTGCAAAATATCCTTTGCATCCCTTTAAGAAACACCTGCCTTTCTTTGGTATTTCTTGCAGGAAAGTATCTAAAGTTTGAAGTTCCCTCCAAAGATCCCAGCAGAAATGTTTCTAACTTTTAAGAATGTCCTAAGAGAATGAGTTAAAACCAGAAAATGTTGAAAGTCTTATTTAGAATATTAAAAACTGGAAGCAATCTGCAGGTCTAACAGTGGAAGAATGATGTATTTATAATGTGAATATACATGTGATGTCCAACAATTTCAATTCTAAGTACGAAGAGTAAGCCACAATAAAGAATGTTAAAAAATAATAATTAGTAAGTAAATATAATTATAAAACAAAGTCACAAATACAAAAAAGGGACAATTATATTAGAATGATGAAATTCAATTTCTGTTTCCTGCCTCCTCCCCTGCTGGCTCTATAATTTTTTTTTTAATTCTTACAGTAGAATAGGAAAAAAAGGTAAGAATGCTATGGCTGGAAGGCCACTAGTAAACAAGCCCATATAAATGGTCCTCAAGACAAGACCCAATATGGGTATGAGACTAAATGTTATAAGGAAGGTCACTGTCCTCAGCAACTGACTCTGCTATTTTTACCCCAAATAGGAGCCCATACAAAACCACCCCATTCTTACCCTCTTTCTAATGAAAGGTCCCAAAAGGTATCCATCCAAGAAGTGCTGCCAATAATAACATTGCTAATTGTGACCAGCCTATAGACATCTTATTTGCAAAGGCTTTTAAGCCTGAACTGACATGAAATATAATACTGTGGAACTCTTTTTGTCTTATTTGTGAGTGTTTTTGACTGCAAAAGAACAGTTTATCAAATTACTTATCTTTTAAAAAACACAATCACAAAATCACATTCATATACTGCTACCATAGTGTTAGGGACTCCCAAGCCTAGACAGGCTGTTTAATTAAAAAAAAAAAAAAAAGTTAGGATGCTTGTTTAAACAACTTAGAAAGCATTTTCCCCCCAGAAATATTATAGTGATAAGGGAAACGATCTGCCCATCTAAGCCTCATTTCCACAATCTCCCTCTAAATTTCCTGGTCTAGAAAACCCATGGCTCTTTGGGATGCTTCATATGCTTTTCAGGAGTTTCCCTCACAGGTCTGCATTTCTATCATGGAATTTTTTATTTTTTTTTTTTAAGCTAGGAAATGTCTTACTAACAAGTTGTTTTATCACCTAAAATCTACCATTATCCATTTTTACAGCAAAGACAACACTTGATTGACTTAAATTCTAGAAGAAAAAAAATCTTGCTTTAGCAATCAAAAACTTAAAAACAAAGGGGTAAGAGGATACTGAAATGTACTAATAGTTTGTGTGTTTAAGGACCTCAAACATTAAAGGCAAGATGATAGTTTTAAAAATGTAATACCTCAAGTCTAAACATGAATGGATTTAAATTTAATCCTTTTTGTATGAAACCAAATGCCAGTCTAATACCACTGGGACTAACTGCTAAAAAAACTAAGTAATAAAACAAATACATGAAGCATGATTACAATTTAAATTCTTTGGATTATCTTTCCCCCTCCCCTCGCCAGATGGAGTCTCGCTCTGTCGCCCAGGCTGGAATGCAGTGGCACCATCTCAGCTCACTGCAAGCTCTGCCTCCGGGTTCACACCGTTCTCCTGCCTCAGCCTCCTGAGGAGCAGCTGGGACTACAGGCACCTGCCACCAGGCCTGGCTAATTTTCTGTATTTTTAGTAGAGACGGAGTTTCACCGTGTTAGCCAGGATAGTCTCAATCTCCTGACCTTGTGATCTGCCCGCCTCAGCCTCCCAAAGTCTTTGGATTATCTTCTAAGCCCCCACATTTAATATAGAAGTTAAAAACTCTTTGAAACAATACTAAGCACCTTCGTATTATTTAATACTTTTATATCTAAAAAGTTGTCCTTTCCTTTTTTTTTTTTTTTGAGACAGGGTCTTGCTCTGGGCTCAAGCAATTCTCCCACCTCAGCCTCCCACGCAGCTGTGACTACAGGGGTGCATCACCACGCCTGGCTAAGTTTTTTTATTTTTTGTGGAGACTAGGTCTCACCATCTTGCCCCGGGTGGGTCTAGAACTCCTGGACTCAAGCGACCCTCCCAACTCAGCTTCCCAAAATGCTGGGATTACAGGCAAGGGCCACCATACCCAGCCTAAGAATATTTTTTGGATTTTCACAGCTGTCAGGAAAGCTTTAGAAAGAAAAGATAGGGGTTAAAAGTTGAGACACAGCTTAAGACAGAAGCATTGTAAAACAGGAACAAATACTGGCTTAAACCTGATGTCTCTAACTATATTCCTCTATTTTAAGAATCTTTTAGTATCTGATAGTTTCATAAGCCTTTCATTTTCCAATATGTAACCTTTTAAGGGAGAAGACCACCCCTCATATTGTCTTATGCCCAATTTCTGCCTCCAAAGAAAGAAAAAGTAAAAACTAAAAGGCAGAAATGAAATCCACAAGCAGACAGCCAGGCGCCCCCTGACCTAATCTGTTATCTATAGATTACAGACATTGTATAGAAAAGCACTGTGAAAATCCCTATCCTGTTTTGTTCCTATCTAATTACGGTGCACGCAGCCCCCAGTCACGTACCCCCTGCTTGCTCAATTGATCACGACCCTCTCACACGGACCTCCTTGGAGTTGTGAGCCTTTAAAAGGGACAAGAATTGCTCACTCTGGGAGCTCGGCTCTTGAGACAGGGGTCTTGCCCATGCCCCCGGCCGAATAAACCCCTTCCTTCTTTAACTTGGTGTCTGAGGAGTTTTGTCTGCGGCTTGTCCTCCTACACTTTATTCCCACCATGTCCCAAATAAACGAGTTCTAGGATTTCCTAGAAGGTGGACCTCAATTATTGTGTCCCTTTTACATACAAGACAAACATTCTGTTGGAACACGGAAACTTTCACTAGAATCCTTAGAATGTTCAGAAAAAATGTCCCAAAGCTCTCTTCTGGTCCATACAAGACAATCAGAATGTAACACAGTAGCAGAAGGTGTGGAACATACACTAGTCATATTTGATTCTCTCTGTCAGGGGTTCTTCTTTGTAATGGGAAATAATTTGAATCAGGATGGAAGAGTTGATAAGAAGAAAGAACAAACCAGCTAACCAGATAAACAGAAAGGTGTTCTTTCCTTGAAACTCAAGAACATAGGCAGGAGCCAGCCATAGGGCCTGCCCTATAAACCATAACATTAGGAGAACTACAGCTCTTTTCCAAGTCATTCTTACTAGTGGCATCACAAGAGGCAGTAAGCAGAGGTACCAAAGAAAGTACTGGGAGGTGCAGACTTTGTTAAAAGTCACAAAAATGGATGTATGAAGAAAACAACAAAAGACGAGGTCTCTGTAATAGGCGAAAGACACAGCTGAAAGCAAGATGAACTGTGGCAGGAATGCAGCAATTCCCAGGGAAAAACTCCACTTGCTCTCTGCAGTCAAATACAGCATGTAGAAGTACGGAGAAAAGTTGTGACGGATATCTCGCCTAGTCAGGTGATAAAAATAGGTGTGCTCCAAAAATTCCCAGCCGTACTCATAGTAAAAACCAAAGCTCAGGGCAAAAAACGTGAGTCCAGCAACCGCTACGAACAGCAGCACAGCCCGATCACACAGCCTCTTCAGGAGCTCGTACAAATGAGCCTGGAAAGTATACCGGGATTGACGGAGGCTTTTGTCATTGTCGCGATCTGGAAGCAGGTGGAGAGTTATGGGAAGGATATAAGTTACCGGATATATCTTCATATGCACCGCGAAACCATAGAACACAGCTGCACACGCGACGACTCTTTTCCTTATCAAGTACAGGACCATCAGGACCAGGGAGGCGACAATCGAGTCCGCATTACCTCGACTGGATACTGCCATAGGCAGGGGGTTAAGAAGCCAAAAGACACAGTAGCCACAAGCCTGGCGGCGCCCCAGCCCCTTCAGCAGCAGCAGGCGGTATAAGAGGAAAGCGGTGAGGAGGTCGCAGCTGATGAAGAGAAACTTTCCAAAGAGCTCGCTGAGGTAGATGTTGGGAGTGAGGAGCCAACCCAGCAGCGGGGTGTAACGGTACGTGGCTCTCAGGTAAGGCGAGCGCCCCTCCGTGACAAAGCGCGCGGCATCGGTGAAGACCTGGTAGTCAATGTCCGTATACCTCACGTGCAGGGTCCGGTCCTGGAAGACCCCATAGAAAACCAGGGCGACTCTGGCTAGAAAGGCCACACCAAACACGCCGGCGGGGGCCAGCTTCAAGTTAAGGAGCCATTCACCCCAGTGCTTGGTCGAGCCCATGATCTGACTGTGCGACAGCTGCTCAGCCCCAGCTCCAAACTGCCTTAGTACCTCTAACCTTCCCTTCGGTGCCTCGCAGCAGGTGGCCGCCGCATCTCCCACCCCCTAGGCCGCCAACCGAAACAACTGCGGACTACCACTTCCGGCATGAAGCCCCGCCCCCGTACTGCTACCTGTCTCCAGCCCCGCGCGGGATTCTCAGCCGCCGGAGCCAAACACTTGCCTTCCTCTGGATAGGCGGTCTCGCTTCCGCATCTTCTTCCGGCGGAGGCGGGATTTCCGGTCCCTGGGCGGAGAGACGTCCGCTTGCCGGGAAATCCGGCACTGGATTGAGGATTTTATGGAGCGGAGTGAGATTTCTTCGTAAGTGACAACCCCCAGCCCCACCGCCCTTATCCCGCGCCCCGTTTCCAGTCCTCAGAGGAAAACCCTCCGACGCGTAGCGAGCTGCGGGCTGCGCGCTACATCCCTCAGTCCTGGGCTGGAGACCCGAGAGTGAAAAATGTAGGAGTGAAAGGAAGATAAGCCTTCTTATGCGTTACTCCACGAGCTCGCCGGTATTCACCGGGGATTTGTGGGGCCCCGGACAGGACAGGATGAGTTGAAGGGGGCTGAGTGTGTATGTCCCATGCAATATTGGAGGCATACTTATATTTTAAAATTCTTAGTTGGTAATCAGAGATTTAGATTTAAGTGGGCAGTTTGTATTTTATCCGGCAACCCTAAGTGAAGGTGATGGGAAAGAAGACAGGAAAGCGTCACAAAATTCCTAAACTTGTCAGCCCCTTATGCCTCAGTACCTTTGTGTTTGGTATTTCTTCTGTCAAAGTTGCCATCCCCTCCCCAATCACTCTGGCAAACACCTACTTAACCCTTCAGGCCTCAGTGCAAGTGTTAGCTCCCAGCTCCCACTCACTGCCTCATCACTTAGAATGAATGACTTCGATGCCAGTCCCCTCCCCTGTCGGAGGATTGGTGGACTGGGGCGGACGGGATCTAAGCTCCAGAAAATCACTCACACGGAAGATCCTGCCATGCTACTGAAAGTTCTCACAGTGCTCCAGAACTCCCTGGTCATTCCTTTGTTACAGCATTTGTCACACAGCTTTGTAATAACTGTTTTTGTTTGTTTTGCTCTCCTAGTTTTCCATCAGGACACTTTGAATTCCTCGATATCAGAGATTATCTTGTTCTTTTCTCCACCTCAACATCTAACACAGTACTAGTAGCCATTCAGTAAAGTTGAATTGATTTTAGAGGTTCCTCCTACCGGAATATTTCTAGAGTGGCATCTTTGGATTGCTCCCAACTCCCAGTTATTTTCCCTTTTAAATATCCTTTATGTATGTCAAGGTCCGCAGCTCCCGCCACCCCACTCCAACCCAGCTTCCATGAATTTTTCACCAAGGACTGTAACCCATTAGCTCTTCCCTTTTTGTGATTACTTAGTGTACTTACATAGTCCACGTTGTAGAATTTGATACTTTATTTTAGATTGTATTCATAGCCCTCACAAGAGATTGTAGGGTTCTTGGGGGTAGAAATTATATCTTATCCTTCATTTTTTCAATTATTTGTAATTTATTGTAGTCTTAGGCACATGGTAAATGTTTGGTAAATACTGACTAGTTGGATTTTACAGAATGAGCCTGCTTCCTAGGGGAAGTCTTCTAGACTAGAATAATAAAAGGAGGTGACTTCATCCAGTCTGAACATGCAGCTCCCAGGACTACCTGCTGCTCATCCATCCTACATTTCACATTTATCCTTTGGAGATGAACTGTGTTAATCTTATATATTCCATATTCATCTTGCGATATCTCTATGTCCTTTTATATGCCTTGGCATAATTACATGCCTTAGATTAATAATTCTAACCATTTTTTGGCAGTATATTAGCCATATATATAGTGACAGCACATCACCACTCATATAATGATGATGATGATTTATAAATAGCTGGATTTGTTGAGGACTCATTTGCAATGTACCAGGCATTATGCTAAATACTTTTTATGTAAGGTAGATAGTCCCACTTTTACAAATGAAGAAAACCAAGGCTTGTGGAGATTAAGTAATTTTCCTAAGTCACATAGCTAACTAGTGGCACAGCTAGAACTCAAAACCCAGTCTGTCTGACCTAGAATATCTTAATCATTATGTGGCTGACTTGCCAATAAAATGTTGGTCACAAATTCTAATTTTCCTGTGTTTTCTCTTATTGATCTCTTATCTGGATATTCTGGATATTCTCTCTCACTGTGACTCTTTCTACCTCTGATTTATTCTTTTCTTCTGCAAATAATGGATAAGTGAGGCTTAGTTCCTTAAGATAGAAAATATGGGAGGTAGGTATCTGAGGATTAACTAAGTAAGGGTTCTTGTGGCTGGATTGGTTTCAGTAGTATGGCAGAAAGGTCTCAGTCAATCTGTCCCTACATGGCTGTCCTAGTAGAGAGATGGGAGGCACCAAATTTAGGCAGATAAGAAAACAACTAATAAAAAATAATAATAATAATAATAATAAAACTAAGCATGTCACTGAAGCCAAAGGATTGAGATGTAGATAGTTGTGGGAATAAAGAAGAGACTGGAGTCTGTAAAACAAATTGGACAGAGAGGTCCAACTTTAGTTACTATTTGTGGGTGGAAGAGATACATCACAGGGTCTGAGGACCCCATATTGGACTTTTTGCATTGGGTTTAGGGATTGTATCTTCTCACCTCTTTCTGAAAGAGTTACATTTTTTCAAATGCTCAACTGTTCATTACCTCTTGGACTGTTACTTACAATCCTTCTTAATTCCCCCTTTCACTATCTGCTCCTAGATTTCTATCCTTTTAGAGCCAGTGACTAAGGAAAGCACAAACAAGGATCACTCAACTTTAGTTTCCCTAGCAGGAACCTTGTCCTTGTTCACTAGGCTGTATAGACTCTCATTACCCTTCCATATCCTCTATTCATCTTTTTTGCCCTGTTCTGTGTTCCAGGAGGTTAGGCTGTATGGGTAGCATCACTCAATCTCCCTTGTTCTCTGGCTTCCCATTAGAATAGACCAGTGGAAGGCACTAGCAGATCTTTGACAGTGTCTGGAGTTCCTCACCTAAAGCCATGGCTCCCGTTGAAGCTATAGCTCTTTCCTTTGGGTAAAGTCTCATGGTTCCAGTAACTAACTGTCCTTTTAGGTTTAAGGCTGGTAAAGGCTTCCTGCTTTGCGAGTGCCTGGGTACATCACCATATCTTGTTGATTTGTTAAACTTGCCCATACCTTTGCAAATAATTTCCTCATTAAAACATGTCCACTAACCCTTTGAGTGTACCATCTGTTTCCTGCTAGAACCTTGACTACTTCAATCACTTTCTTTTCACTAGATTTTGTTCATATGTCTTGCTTTGTCATTTCTTTGGAATATATTTCTAATTCTTTCCATGCCCAGCATCCTGCGCCTTAGTTCAGACCTTCAACAACTCAAATAATACATAGCAAACACCTATACTATACTATACTATACTATACTATACTATACTAGGATCTGTGGCAATCGTCTTTCCCTCAAGCTTTAAAAATCTCTTAACTGATTTAATGTCTTATATCTCAGTTTTACTGCCAGATTGATATTAATTAATAGTACTTCACTTAGATTCTTTCCTCTGTCAGCCATCTTCAGTGGTTCCTGATGCCTAAAGAAAAAAAATAATGAACCTTTAGCCTGACATTCAGTCCCCCCACTTTCTGACTTTACCTTACCTTTCCATCCTATTCGCCTGTAAAACCTCTGTTTTACGTTTACTGTTCCCAAAATATGCCTTGTGCTTTCTTCTCATGATACTTTGTTCATGCTGTACTTCCTACAAAGAGACCTGTTTCTCTTTACTTACTTAAACGCTATTTGGTTTTTAAATGTTGAACCCAAGCCTCAACTCCTCTGTAAGCTCTTCCTAGACCTTAACAGGTAAAATAGTCTCTCCCTTCTCAAAACAGTGATGTTTATTGTCTGTTCTATTTTTAACAGTAATTATGTCATGCTCGTTATCTAACTGTTTTATAGTAATTAACAAGATATACAAGCTCCACTGCATACTTTAGACTAGTTCTTTCTCTCTTCTCTTTCTTTCCCTCCTGCTCATTTATCAAATGTCATACATGTCAGGCACTATATGAGGTGCTGGGCTGTACTCATGACCAAACACTTGACATGAATCCCATTCACATGACACTTGAAGTTTAGTAAGCTACACAGACATTAGTCAAATAAATTGACAAGTAATATACAAATGCAGCTGTGGTAAGTGCTCTAGCTTTTAAGGGGATTTATTTGATCTCAGATGGGCATAGTGTAAGAGTTAAGAAGGTTGGCCAGGCACAGTGGCTCATGCCTGCAATTCCAGCACTTTGGGAGGCCGAGGTGGGTGAATCACCTGAGGTCAGGAGCTGGAGACCAGCCTTACCAATATGGTGAAACCCTGTCTCTACTAAAATTACAAAAATTAGCCATGCGTGTTGGCATGTGCCTGGAGTCCCAGCTACTCAGGAGACTGAGGCAGGAGAGTCGCTTGAACCCGAGGGCGGAGGTTGCAGTAAGCTGAGATCGCGCCACTGCACTCTCTCCAGCCTGGGCGACAGAGCAAGACTCCATCTCAAAAAAAAAAAAAAAGAGAGAGAGAGAGTTAGAAGCAGTGGGGAGAGTTCCACAGAAGGAATAGCAGGTGGAAAGCACCATGATTGTACATCCCTTGATTCATGCATCATGTCTTGTATTTCTTTGTTAGCTGAATGATACCTTCCACATAATAGGGACTCAGCATTTGCTGATTTTTCTTGAATCTTAATGTATTCTAACCAAACCTGTTTTAGATTGATACCTTCCCTTGCCTAGTTCCTGTTCCTGTGAAATATTTCCCACAGAGATCTCACTCTTTTTGGAACATTCTGCTAATGTTATATCTGGCATTAGTACATGGTACTTGCTATATTGCCTTTCATTATATTTGTTATATGCTACTTGTTTTATTTCTGTTTCCTTACAAGTTTGTAGGTTTCTTCAACCTTTTAGGCCTTTTAGGAACTATACATGTCCTATATCTTAAATATCTCATATGTCTTAGGATTCATTCCTAGTATTTCCTAAATGTTGTGCTTAAGTATTTATTGATCATGATAAGAGACCCAATTTTCTCCTTCCTCCTCTCTCTCTCCTTCCACTTCTGGGGAATAAGAGTCAGTGACTGTAGGGTCTTTTGCCTCTCATCAGAGAAAATTCAGGGCTGGATGTTAACAACCAGATCTTTCTCAGGCTACTGACAGACAAGGATAGAAGAGAAATCCATTTCTTTGAGATTTGGGGGAAGAAATGCCTGGTGATTAAAGGAATAAGCTTACAAAGAACCTTGAGGATATATAAGGAAAACTGGCAACAAGACTACATGGTAGCATAGAAGGGAAATTGGGCTTGTGATCACTGGCCAAAAGGGACAATGCCCAGGATCCAAAGCAACTTGACTTTTATGGATTAAGCTGAGCCAATTTTCATACGCTTGGGTCTTAATGTTTTTTCAGTATTGTCCCATGAAAACCAAATGTGAAAGGAACTCGCTAAAGCATGAGAGAAAAATTAAACAGAAGGGGCTTGGCCATGAAATCAGAAGTTCTTCCAGCACAGCCTAATTCAATCCTCCATGCTCATGGGTAGGCCTATGAGTTCAGACCTTGACAGTGTTGGTTTAGATTTCTAAAAGAAGCTAGAGTGACAACCAAAGAGTCATCCATTTTATTTAGTAGCTTATTCTTAACAGACAAAAACAAAACAAATCTTACACACCTTTTTTTCCTAGATAAATTTGACCTGGTTTAGTCTTTAGTGCAATGAATAGAAGAACCATGCCTAAATACTTCTGCGTCAGTAGAGTTGGCCATTACTGAGCCGGGAGGCCCATGCTAACTTTCCAGCAAAGGTAGTGTGTTACTGTACAAGTGAACTAGGTTAGCTAGCAAGAGTAAAGGACCAGGGCAGCAGCCGTGGGGAGGGCACAGTGTCCGGACTTGTAGCAATAGTATAACTGGCTTCCTTTATCTGCTCAGACCTTATAGGGAAACTCCTGGATGATTTTATTAGGCTGACAGGGGTTGGGGGAATAATAGGGTGAAGCACATTGCAGAGGTTTTGGAAGCTTCTCATGGGAACTTCACCATCCCTTAGAGCAGCTGGTAACCCTACTCGTTTTCATTCAGAAGCATCAAAACCAAAGCATCACCCTCCATGCCCAAATTCCAGGATTGGAACTCTTCTGGAATCCATGGCTTTCTCTTTGGGCTGCTTGCAGCTACACAAAAGGCTGGGCCTCGACCTTGGGAGATCTTGGGCCCAACAGCTATTAGTCCTGGCATTTGGATTCCAGGGTTGAGGCTTCCCATTAGTGCCTCCCATACACCAAGGTGTTCAGCTCCTGAGTTGAATTTCAGGGGCTAGAACAATAGCAGCTCCCACCCCTGTGGAAGACAGGGAAATACAGTGTACTTCATGAAAGGGAAACAAAAGGGTGCTTTATTTTATTTTATTTTATTTTATTTTATTTTATTTATTTTAAAAAGGCTCTACAGTGGCAGGACGCTGCTGCGGATGGGGGCACAACAGTGTAAGTGGTAGATTTTCCAAGATTTCCCCTCCCTATTGTCCTCCGAGTTCCTCTCTTCCTGGTCCTATCAGTAGCAGAAGATTCAACAAAAGCCTTCATGAATGCCTCTTTATTTCTGAAAAGGAACTTCTACCCCTCCCTTTCCCATTTCCAGACTTGAAATCTTTCATCAGCTATCTCACTTCCATGTTGAAACCTGGACCACTGATTGTAAGTCTAAAAATCTGGGTGTCCTACCCCATAACCAGGCCAAGATATCTGCCCCCAATGCTAAAGTCTCTGAATATTTCCCTTCTGTACATTCAATAGATTTGAGCATATATACATCTATATACATCTTTCTATATATATATTATCTCTGTTTCTTTCTTCTTAGATAAACCTTTCATATGTGTCATATCCTAATTTCCCAAGCCTCCCCACTTCTTATTTGCGAGCCTAAGCAAGACTCAAGAGTTTCATTGATTTCACTAGGTCCCTCAGCATCATTTTTTTCTCATCTTCACACCCCAGATATCTTCCCCCATCAGTTGTTTTGCCCGTCTTCTGAAATCTCCCCTTTTTACACCTGTGCCTACTACTGTCCTGATATTCCAAGTCCACGGTTGGTATGGGGGCCCATTTCTCACCAGACCTGGCTGCTTCTGAAACTCGGCCTATTGCCTAAAAGAGGATTTCAGTCTTTAGACAGACTATAGTCTAAAGAATGATTTAGAGTTAAGGTTGGGGGTAGTTGTTCCCTGTGGGGGGCTTATGGGAGAAGATGCCAGATTGCATTAATAGGACGGTGTGATTTAAAGTGCAACTTAAAGCAAAGCCTGGGATGATAATGGAGGAGATTCCAAAAGGGTAAGTCAGAAAATGTTTTCTTCTCACTTTGTCATCCAAGAGTCTAGAGGCTTGAGTCTGGGGGCTTAGAACAGACAGCAGGGGAATGGGAAGAATGTAATGCCTTCAGGAAGGAAGCATAGCATGGCAAAATAAACCAGATGGAGGTTAACTTGCCAATAGATAAGAAGGTACAGATACACACACACACACACACACACACACACACACTCACACACAGCAGTACATCTTGTCCCTACACACAGAAAGAAATCAGGTAAGTCTAATGTTGAATAAAGTTGAGAATGCAGAAGCTGACTCTTGGCCTTCTGTTCTCTGTTTCAGATTTTTTAAGTTTTTGTGGTTCTTGTTTTTATGCCAACTAGAAGGTAATGGTGGGGTTTACAGTGGATGGACACTGAAGGGTCTTCATTTTCAAGATATAGTTAGTTGAGTTCAAGGAGAGATTAATATAACAAGACCTTGTGCAATTATAGTAGGTGGCGATCATGGGTCTAGCCTCAAAATTTTGTGTTTCTCTGCAAGGCTGTGTACATAGATGCATGTATATATTCTGTAGCTTGTAACAATTGGCTGAGACCACCTTAAATAAACTGCCACTTGATTTATAGTGGGACTATGCAGTACCACTATGTGGGGCTTCCTTAGTACCAAAGTGAGACCAGAAAACACTCTAGGGATTTAGGGCTTTGGATAAAGCTCTGGTGCTTATATGCCCTTCCCTGACCCTTACCACAGACCCCTCCAGGGAACAAGGAATAGGCTGTGTCTGATCTCTTAAAGTCTGCTTTTTAACTTGCCTGAAAATGGCCTCATGGCAGAGGAGAGTAGAGATGGCACTGATTTTCTTCATTTTATACCAAGTCTCAGGAATGGCTGAGGGAAGCCATGGATATTTGATCAGCGGGTATAATTTCCTCTCCTTCCAACATTGCCTAATGAAATAGCTGGCACTTTTCAGAAGAGCACTGGGAGGTGTAACTGAGAATAGTGGCTGCCAGCCACAAAGTTCTGCTTCTGCCCAAACCTTAACAAAGCATCACCAATTCTCAGAGGCACTGTACAGCAGTTTGGAAATCTGAGAATTTACCCATCCCTCATGGTGAGATTGGGTTAACTTTCTGGGGAATCTGTGCCCTGTGAATCTAGTTTTACTTGAGCATCTGTGTTAAGAGAGGAAGGCCCTTGCATTTTCCCTCCCTTCTCCCAAAGAGTTGGGGTTAAGGAAGAAGGATCTAGCCTGGGCAGGAAAGGAAGAAGAGAAGCCAGGTACAATGTAATCTGGAATATTATTTTCAGGCCTTTCCGTGGGGCCTTGGTACTGGACTCTTTTCAAAGGAACATATTGGCTTGTGTCCTTCCATTCACAGGACACAGGGAAACAGATCTTCTCTGGGCTACCTGGAAGATAGGTTTAAAGGTTTAGACAACAACTTGTGTTAGTCACTCCAAATTGAAGAGTTCAGAATCCAGGATAGATATGGGTGGTTATATGTTTATGTTTCTTAGGCCAACTCCAATTCTCTGAGAACAGGCTATGAAGGAACTGGGTATCCTGAGAGTGTTCACTTGACAAACTATAGAGGAAAAATAGTGGTGACCATGATTCTAGGTTATGGTCAGAAGTCACCAGCAGAAATCAGCTTCATGGTGGCAAACCCTGGCTTCTTTCAACAGAGGTTGGTAGAAACCCTAGGATACATTGATATCAGATTCCTGTATTTCTGAAAGCACAGACCACAAAGTGACCATCAGAGAGAGTCTTGCCTTTGGGAACTTGCTAGATGGAAAGGTAACAGAGGGAGCTCCAGCCTCAAGTCACCAAACTTCATGGTGGTGGCGGGAGGTGGGGGGAGTCTGTCCGTCCAACCACATGATCCTCCTAATGTGAGTATCCAAGCATGGCTGAGGCCTTCTAAGCCACTTCAGCCTAATCCCTCTCTTTCCCCCATCCTGGCTTAAGGGAGGTATATGTATTGGGGCAGAAGCGGGAGGAGTGGAAAGGGGACAGTGGGAGGGGAACCTGGACTCCAGTTGGCCTAAGCTACCGACAGGCCACTGGGTTAAAGAAGAGGCGGTGGAGGATGGGTGCTTCGGGTGATCTCCAGTAAACCCGGATAGTATTCCTTACCAGGGCACTGAAAGAGAGGAAAAGAGACCAGAGGAATGGGGGAGTGGGAACAGGTCATCAGACGTTGCTGATGCGCACACTAAGGGCACTACCCTCCTTCTCAGCTTGCTCCCTTAATGACTCCTCCAGCTTGAGCTTTTCAGGATCTCCGTAGCGTACAGTGCTGTCACGGAGGCCACTAGGAGAGGCCACTTTCACAACTTGGTCAAAAAGACTGAAGTCAGCTATGTATTTACCACTGGCTGACAGTGAGATGGCAGGTGTGAACTCGTAGCCCCAAAGGATCTCCTCTGGCAGGTAGGAAGTGCGCACCTGACAGGTGGCACTGGTGGACTCCACTGTCCCACTTAGGATCAGCACCAGCTCGAAGTCACCCTCACCGCTGCGAAGAGGGAGATCCTTCAAGGGACTGGTCTCATCTACCACATGATAGAAGGTAAGGGGTAGAATAAGGAAGGGGCTGTCAGAGGCCGTGTCTACTTGGAAAGTCACATTGACTTGGTTGAGCCGGATGTTCTCCCCCTCCTTGGTTTGGTGGGTCTGAAGCAGTTTTCCTGTCACCTGGCAGCCAATGAGGAGGCTCTTGCGCATGTTGGCAACTCGGATCATGAGGCAGGGCTTCCCATTGTGGGAGGCCACAACTGCATGCTGGCTGAAACGAATGGTCTCAGCTCGCTTCTTGGGACGGGCAATCTTCGCCAGGAAGGTACCTGTGATGAAGATTTCCAGGATGGTGGTGAGCACCAGCTGGGCAATAAGAAGCACAATGGCCAGTGGACATTCCTCACTGATGTAGCGGAAGCCATAGCCAATGGTGGTTTGGGATTCAAGGGAAAAGAGGAAGGCTCCAGTGAGTGTGTGCACCTGTACCACACAGGGGGTGTGGTTGGCCGGGGGGTCCAGCTCCAGCAGGTCCCCATGTGCCACAGCTACCAAATACCACACCACGCCAAAGAGGAACCATGTGCCTGCAAAGGTCGCAGAGAAGAGCAGAAGCTTGTAGCGCCACTGCATGTCAATGAAGGTTGTCCACAGGTCCTTGAGGTAGAGGAAGCGCTTGTCGGCAATGTGCTCCATTCTCACATTGCTGCGACCATCTTTTGTCAGGACTCTCCGCCGTCGTATCCCTGGGCCCATTAGGGGCCGGCTTTCTGTCTGAGTGGTCTGACTGTAATACACCTTGGCAACTGACGTCATCTGGAGGGAGCAAGAGAGCATAATGGAGGTTATCGTAGAAATCCAGCTGACTCCTAACCCCCACCCCATGGGAGGGAGGAATTAACATTCATTTGGGTGTCACTTATGTGTTCTTGTATTACCAAATGTTTTTTGAGCACTTGCTATGTGCCAGGCACTGTGCAGGGACCGAGGCAGGCGGATCACCGGAGGTCAGGAGTTCAAGACCAGCCTGGCCAACATGGCAAAACCCTGTCTCTACTAAAAATACAAAAATTAGCTGGGCATGGTGGCATGAGCCTGTAGTCCCAGCTACTTGGGAGGCCGAGGCAGGAGAATCGCTTGAACCCGGGAGACAAAGGTTACAGTGAGCTGACATCGCGCCACTGCACTCCAGCCTGGGTGACAAAGCGAGACACTGTCTCAAAAAAATAAAAAATAAAATAAAATAAAATGACATCATTCTGCTCTCCAAGAACTCACAGCCTAGTGAGAAAGATGCCTATTTAGTAAGCAAATAATTGCAATACAGTCTGATATTTGTAATTCTTAGAGGAAGAGAGGCAGAAAAGAAAGAGTAGTAGCTTCACAGTTCCTTGAAGGTGAGGGTGAGACTAACGAGAGCCTTCACCACAAAACCAGTCCTCCGAAGATCTCTAATTTTGAAATAGGATCCCTTCCCACCCTCATGAATGGCTATGAAGCAAGACAAGCTATCCTGCTGAAATCCTTCTGGACCAATCCCCCTTAACACACACACACACACACACACACACACACACACACACACACCCTTAATTTCTTCATTCTCTGCTCTACCCCCAAGCCAATACCCACTGGTGATACTAAGATATTCATCTGGTTCAGAGAATAGCAGAAACTACCCATTCTTTTACCCTTCAAGATGCTCTCTAAGCACCTAGACCATTTCATTTTTTATCATCATCATCATCTGTTTGCATTATCTGGGGAAATTTGGTCTGAGTTAGAGTCTAGGGCAGTTTTAGGAAGAGTACAGATGGGATTTGAACAAAAAGAAATAAGCAGTGGTGGAGGAGAAACAACATGTTGAAACTTCCTGGCAGCACTGGGACATTTTCTCAAGGACTGGCAGAAATGCCAGATTGTGGGTGGCAAAATTGTTTTGATGGAGTGAAGTAGAAGAGCTAGGGGTGTACATTAACTAGCAGCTATGTCTGCACAGGCTCAAATTCAGGATTGCTATTTGTTCTGATGGCAGAAAGTGGGGCAAGCCACTGAAATAGGAGACCATTCACTTAATACAAGGTGCCTGGCACCCTTGTTCAAACAGTAACTTGTACTTTTCCAGCACAGAAAGAATTTTAATCACTTGAGCCCTTGGACCCTGGATCTGATAGCCAGATCTTCTGTGGAGCAGGGTGATCTCTGGGGAGTTTGGCCCTTCTTGGAGAGGCTCATTACATTCTCCATTCGAAAAAGTCCGAACCATTGCATTTTATGATTCTTCACACTGCCCACCCCACCTCCCACCTCTATTTTCCCCATAACCTTACCCATGGAAAACTTCAAATTATTTGGGCCTGACCATATGCCCAACCAGGTAGGCACTGAATTGGAGATCACCAATGGATGAGAACCCCAAGAATGATCACAGGCAACAAGGATGCCCAATTTACCAGCCCACAGGCCATTTGGAACTTCTGTTCATGCGAGACTATTCAACCGGTTCTGGATGTTGTTCACTCCCCTATATCCTTGGCTGCTTTGGAACAAAAAGGAAGCTCTGCAACTCTGAAGTTTGAAGAATTTGGATTTCAAGCCTAAACAAAGCCGTATTTAGTATTCAGTAGTAGTAATAATAACATAACAACCATACTGCCTGTATCTATATACCATTTTAGAATTCACACATTAGAATACCTTCTCATTTGATCCTCAAACCCTTGAAAAAAAAGATGTAAACTCCTATAAGATATTTTGAGGAATATTAGAGAACAGAGAACATGCTGTAAAATTGGAGATGAATGAACATAGTTTTAATTTTCAAAAAGAAAAATGAAGTACCTTTCACAAACTACAAACAAACAGGTAAGATATTGCTCCTAGGCAAGATTCTAGAATGGAATATTAAGATTATGAGTACTTGGGCAGGATGGGGGAAAGGAAGTTATCAATAGGACCCAGTGTGGATTTACTAAGAACAAGTCACATCAAAATAGTCTAATTTTGGCTGAGTGTGGTGGCTCATGCCTGTAATCCCAGCACTTTAAGAGGCTGAGGCAGGAGGATCGCTTGAGGTCAGAAGTTCAAAACCATCCTGGGAAACAGCAAGACCCCATATCAGCAAAAATTTTTAAAAATTAGCTGGGTATGGTAGCACACACCTGTACTCCCAGCTACTTGGAGGCTGAGGCAAGAGGATCACTTGAGCCCTGGAGTTGGAGGCTGCAGTGAGTTATCATCATGCCACTACACTGTAGCCTGGGCAACAGAGTGAGACTCTGTCTCAAGAATAATAATAACCTAATTTTCTTTTATGATAAGGCTACTAAATTGACAAATCGAAGAAGTGCAACAGAGAGCGTGTACCTAAACTTCAGGAGATTTTTGACAAGATTTCTCATTATGACCTGGGGATAAGATAAAGAAAAGTGAAGAGAATGCTAATCTAATTCGGTGACTTTAAAAATCAGTGGTACTGGTGAGTGGACCATGATAGCCTGGAATTCATTTTCTATTGATACACCAGAGAGCTTCATCTTTGGCCTTGCCCTATTCAATTTTCTTAACATGAACTTCATTGAAAACTATAGAATGCTATGGCCATCAATTATATGCCTGACAGAAAGCTGGGACAGATAGCAAATGCAAGAGCTCGGGCAGAATTAGGATCCAAAAGGAGTCAAATAAATAGGCCAAGTCTAACAAAAATGTTAAGTGCTGGATAATGTACTTGGGTCCAAAAATTACCTGAGCAAGTTCCGGATTGAGAAGATGTGATTTAGCAAAGCAATACAATATAAAAAAGTTAAACATATTAGCAGAAAATAATCCAATATGAGTTATTCATGTGTTTTGATTGCCAAAAAAGCAAACTAATCTTAAGCTACTTTAGTCGAATTGAAGTCTCTAGAATAAAAAAGTAGTTGATTCTACTCTGCTGTGTTCCTCCCACACCTGCAGTATCCAGCATCAAGGAACACTCAGGATATGAGAGGATTCAGAACCAGATCACATAAGAAATAGTTGAAGGAAATAGGGAAGTTCATTCAGAAGAAGAGACCATCAGAAGGATATAATGGATGTGTGCAAATATTTGGTTTGAAGGGCTGTCATGTGATCAAAGGCTTGAACTTGTCCTTTGAGCTCCAAGAGGAACAGTCAGTGAGTTCATACTGCAGGGAGAAAGATTGCAAATTGACATTATAAAGAGCATTGTAACAATCAGGAAGGCACTTTGGACAAGCACTTTGCAGAGATCCTATGGTGGAGATAAAAGCTTTGGAGGGGAGATTGAAAGACTGTCTTGAAGCTTCTGTCTGTACTCATGGTGGGTCAGGATGCCTGCCTTCTCTGCCCCACTTCTACCCCTGCACTTTCTGTGGTGACATTCAGGGATCCTTAACTGGAGTCCTGGCTTTGTTTATGTTGAGGAGAGATTGTACATATCTTGGAGAATGGAAGCTCTTAGGGCCCAAGAAAAGCCTTGCTTATCGTTCCCAAAATATTAGTCTATAATTCCTTCTCACTTTAGAGTTTATAAAATATACAGTTTGATCCTCACACCATGAGGTAGGTAGGAAAGGCACCATACAAACTAAGGCTCAGAGAGCTTTGCCGAAAGTAGGTTAGTGGTAAAGTTGGAACAAGAATCCAGGTCTCCCAGCTCCTGGTCCAGAACTTTTTAATTGTAGCAACTGCTTTTGTGTGCCCCAGGTTCATTCTCATGGACCTCATGCTCTCAGCAGATGCCCCTACGGCACCCTGTATGTAAGACTACACAACCCAGGGTTAAGGCACTAGACTCATGGGCACTGTAGATTTCGGCCACTGCTAGCCTCTTTGTTGCCTCTGGCTGTTGTGATTGCCACCTCCAGCTGTTGTGCCTGTGGTTGCCAGCCTTTATATCTGCCACCTCCAGCTGTTATCTGCTGCTCCCAGCTGTTGTGCCACCTCCCACAGCCAGGCAGCTTTGTTCTCTGCGGTGGCCAGAGTCAGAAGCGGATAAACAATCAGCTACACTCCACCCTCAAGCTGCCCGGGCCCCTGGGGAAGGAAGCAAGCCAAAGCTCTGGAAATCATTTGTTGTGCACCCCACCACCCCCGGCACCCCCGCAATATAAAACATACTGTTTCCTCTAGAGGGTGCTATTTCCCAAAACAGTCCCAGCCAGCCAAATACCAGAGACAGAATTCTGAAGACCAGCCTCTGAGTGGCTAAAGAGACAGAAACAGAGTCATTCACCTTCTTTCTCCTCTAAGAACTGGTGATCCTTTCCCTAAAACAAAGGCCAGTCATAGCTACAGTGATGATCAGCAGGTTCCCTCAGCAAGTACCACTCCCACTTACTGCTACCCCTGGAAGTTCTTCCTGGAGCTGTCTTTTTTTTGCCTGAGCACTCATTTATTTTACTTGAGAGTCATTTATTCTCCAGGATTTATCAGGGCCTTTCTTGAGTAAGGACACTGTTGTTCTTGTGACTCTCAAGAACTTGATCTGTGGCGCCCCTTTGCTTTTTGCTACTTTGCTCCTGGGTTTCTCTTCCTCAAATACACCTCTGACTAGAAAGGATGCTTCAACCCCTCCCAGGGGCAGCAGGTGCAGGGGAAAGAGAAAAGCTGCGCCCACAGGGAAAGTGCTTTATCTTTTTTCTCTGTAGCCTCTCAGCACAGCATTCATGATTTGGTCTCTGCCTGCTTCTGACTTTACCCTTGACAATCTTTCACAGGCCCCCTGAACTTCAGTGAAGAGCCTCACTACCTAATCCTTTCTACCTTTGGACCTGCTTCTGCACTGCCCTGCTCCGTGCCTACCTGAG